TCACACTGCTCCTGAGTCTGTTGCTGCTCCTGCTGCTGTTGTCTCCTGGCCAGTTTCTTCATCTAAAAACATGCATCGAGAGACATTAAAGCTCTTTGATGCCTCAGTGCAGTCAAATCCTCAAGTCTACTGTAAAAAAAAAACTGTCCTCCCACTCCACAGTCCATCTACCACCCAGGAGTATGCTTGTGTTCACTCAGTTGTAAAGTATCAAGAATGAAGTAGAGGGCAGCCACACACGAGCCCAAATTGTGAGGAAATATTGGGTTTAATCTACAGTGATCTCTCCATGAGATGTCATCAGTTTCCTGTATGAACAGATAACCAGGCTGATTTCCACTCTGGCTTACAAATACAGTGCAGAAAGAAGGCTTTTATTAGCAGTGCATGAGTGTGTGTGTGTGCGTGCATGTGTGTGTGTACTTTGAATTACTTTGGCTCTTTGGTTCTGGAACCAGACCTGCACCACCCGGACACTCAGACCAGTCTCAGCTGCCAAGGTCTCTCTTACCTTGGATTAAGATTCAGGAGGGCAACACAAAGACAGAATGCGAGGGTGAAAAAAAAAGAATGAGGAGGTCATTTGAAGGATAATAAAAATCTGCGTCACATCACAAATTTAGCAAAGAGGCACAAACTGCTTAAAGAAACACTCATGATGCTTATTTGTTTTGTGAAAATAACAAACTATAATAACTGCTATGTTTTCAAAAATCTTTACTTTGGTACTTTTAAAGTCAGTTCATGAGGAATTTAGCAATGTCACTTATAACAAAACTGCCCAACTACCCACCTGCAGTACAGTGATACTAATGTACAGAAGATACATGAAACCATGTCACATATTTTTGAATGAAGTTTTCTCCTTTTTTTTGTTCATTCTGTCAAGGTGACACATGGTACAATGGCTTTCTTTCACAATATGAGGTAAAAGGGTCTCTGGATTGTACAGGCTAGTAAAAGGCTTAGCCCTTGCACCTTGTTTTAAACAATGAATAAAATAAGTTGAAGCAGTGCTGTATGAAAATTTCTAACACTAGTCTATGTTATGTCCTGATATGAAATAGATTCATAGTTTTAACTTGAATGCAAAGTAACAGAAGATTTTTTTTTATTTACCTTTCGACAAGGCTTGGAAGAGACCTCAAAGGATGCTTTAAAGGTCCGTCTTTGCTGAGTGGTCAGAATAGTGCGAGGTCTTTTGGGGCGTTTGCTCTCCACGTCATCTGATTTAACTTTTCTGCCTGCAATCCTTCCAGATTCCTCCTCAACTTCTTCATCTTCATCATTACTTTTACCTAGAAGACAGGCATAGATATGATTGAAAATATTCACATAAAAACAGAAATTCTTTCTATTGTTGTGAAGGAAAATTCATGCCTGTCAATGTTTAAATATTTTTTTTATAAGAATTTTAGTTTTTGTTTAAAATGCAGATACTTTACATCAACCTGGCTGATGTCGGGCTGAGTTTTGGGCTTTTCTGTGTCTCCCAGGATGATTTTTATGTCCCTGAACAACTTGAACTGGTGTTCTACGACTTCATTTGAATCATTATTTAGGCAATGTATTTATTGCACTGTTACAGTTAGTTACTCAAACTAAAATGTGCTTATTTTACCCAATGCTGGACAGATTTTGAATTCTTAAAGTGGGATTTAATCATCAAAATGGATTGTGAACTTATTACAAATCAAAGAGCAGCATGAAAGCATGCAATTTCTGTACCTGTTTCAGAAGAGCTCGGACTGGCCAGACACTGGTGGTAGGCCTCTCTGGCACATAGTAGCTGTCCCTCCCTGAGGACGCAGCGATCTCCTGTCTGCAGGCGGCAGGAACAAACGCTGCAGGTGAAACAGCGCAGGTGGAACACAGCGGCCCCCGCACGCATCACCAGCTCTGCAGGAGAGATGGCTTCTGTGCACCCTGCACAACGCACTGCAAACAGGCTGAACAGTGGAGGAAAGCAAGCGCACAGAGAAAGTGTGAGAGCTGAGTAAATAACAGAATAGGGATTTGGTTTTCTTTAGACACTTGAGGACCCCCTCACACATCAGTAAGATGGGACTCGATGAGAAAACCAAAAAGTGCTGGGTAGACTTTGAGAATGTTGCTGAGTCGAGCTGTCACTCAAAACAACCGCCAGCCTGACTTCTCTCGCCTTTCCCCCCCCCCCCTCCTGCCCGGACCACTCAGACACATACCCTTAGTGTGTCGGGTGTGTATCTTAGCGCCTGGCAACCAGTACTGGTGAGCTTAGCCTCAGAGACTGTTGCCGTGGCTCCGACTGCCGTGTCCGAGGCTGCGCTCCTGGGGAGGCAGGAGAAAGGCTCTCGGCAGGCCATGGCTCCAGGCAGAGGGGTGGAATCAGATCTCCTGGTGGGAGAGACTGAGCCACTGGTCCCAGGAATTATCCGTGGAATTATCCGTAAGTCTGCTTAACCAGAAGTAGACAAAGACAGAGCCAGCCCTCAAGCAGCAGGACCATTGTCCGCTGGCTGGCACCTCCGCATTTTGGGTCTGTCACGCGGGATGATGCGTCATCATTCTGGAGCTGGCGTTTGTCTCCAGACTTGACTAGGTCACCGGAGCAGTCAGCACAGAGGCATGAGAAAGTGACAGCTTTTCCCCTTTTTTTGTTTCCAAATAAAAATACTCCATGTGCCTCATGAGAAAAGGCTTTTTCAATACTGTGAAACCATCAGAAAATAGGAGCATTGGAGGTTATTCTAACACTGGACACATTAATAACCACAATTATTGTTCTGTATGTCCTAATCTCATTGAATCTATTTTATTTACCTTAATAAGTTGTGTAATGTTGCTTTTATTGACTTTCTTCTTAATAGTACAAAGATTGAACAAATTTTTACACTAACTAGAAAAAAAATGCACCCAAACTTAAGCAAATTAATTAATTTTTGGATACATTTCAAATTCCGAATGAGAACAATATTTCCAAACAAATAAATTTTTAAGTTGAAAATAAAACAGCCATGTTGACATATCCCCGTCAAAGGCTCCGGAGCTCGTACGTCCTAAAGCCAGACATTGCTAAGACCTCTTACTGTTGCTCCGGGGTCACTATGGCGATGGTAAGAGCCCCTTCCCAGAAGCTCAGGAGGGTCGGTCTGCTTGACCCATCTGAGTTGTCTGCCCCTTCAATGGTATGTGCTTTAATATGGTCAACATACCGTCTGTGGAATGTGCATTCCTGTGGCAACACAAGATGCATCAATCAAATATTTCAAAGGAAGTGTGGCAGAGGAAATACCCTGAATGTTTCTGGGTCTCTGAGATACCGCAAAGCATTTGATTTGACATCTCAGTATGACGCTAATGCCAGTGAAGAAGAAACTACGGGCATTAATGTTTTGAGATCATTCGTGTTTCGAGAAGCGCTTTTCCATTATACGCCTTATCCAGTTGGTCTAATTATCCCCAGTACTCTTAAGCGTCGTTAATGCAAAGGTAAGAGTACCTCCAATACTTATGGAGTGGCTCAAGGTGTTTAATATTTCAGAGTTTCCGCTGACATGATTGGCCCAGAGGCTCGGCCAGGAGAGCGGGAACACTCAGTCACGCTGGATTTAGACATGGCAATTAGTGACAAGATCATTACAGAGGAGTAAGTCAGCAGAATTTTGCACTCCTCCACACTGACATGGTCTGGGTGAGGCCCTCCTAATGCAGAAGCACTGTATAAAAAGATTGTTTAGCAGAAATGTACACAGACAAACTCAGTTTTCCTCAAGCCCTCCTCTTTCATTGTTCTTGCTCTGACTTCAGTGCTGACCTTTGGCAGTCAGGCAAACAGACTGCTGGTCTAGTGGACAAGCAGAGAGACAGATCTTGTTTCTGGATCAGGTTAACTTGGATCCATTGCTGAACGCACACACCAGCGGGAGCTATGTATCAGATACAGATCGTCAGGTCAAGTGAACAGCGAGTCACACCGAAGATCTGACGACCAATCTGCTGTCCGGTGCACCTGCCCGCTGAACCGTTTAGTTAACCTAAACCAAGCTGCAGACGCGCCGTCAGACAGGATTCTGCATTCGGCTTCAGAAAACTGGAGTCACTACAGGTCAGACAGCCAATGTATAAACTATGGACTAAAACAAGCATTATTAAAAACAACTGCATTCAGTCGTCTAAATGAATCCGATTGTTGTAAATTAATGATTACAGTTAGAAAAGCTTCAGCGGCTTCTCTAAAATGTGGGGCACTGACTGCAAGTTAATACCACACATACTGCCGATGACTTTATAATTAACGCTTAAATACTGAGTTTTTTCAATGCAACCCTCGGGTTGGATGAGAGGAAGAAAAACAGATGGATCCCCCCCCCACACTTGAGGTGCAAAAACCCCTCTGCTCAGCTGGTCTTTATAAAAAATTTTAATTCAAAGTGTTTTGATATAATCAAAAATTAAATTAGGACTCTATCAGAAAGTATTATGACATGAAAACACATTGAATTTATTTTATTTTTTTGGTTGTGATTACTTTCTCAGATACTGAATGAGTTTAAATATGCTTAAGTTAGTCTGTAACTGGGACAGACAATGAAAATCAGTAAAGTTCTGTTAAAACAAAAATGTTGTTTGTTATATCACACATATTAGATCATCCAAAAAGAGATAAACTACTTTAATTATGTTTTTTAATAAGTTTTGATAAGTTAATTTTTTCATTTTCAACCCTTTTTTAATGTTATTACTCCTTTGTGGCACATATATTATATCCTCATGTTCCTATTTGTTATTAAAAAGAAACATTTTAGATGCATAAATATATATAAAATTGAAATCTTTATAGTCCTCTGGTACTGGAAAATATTAGCATTATTGTCTTATAAACCACATGAATGGGCCAGGCTTCATGGTATGGCCGGCACTGATGAAACAAAGGTAAAAACAAAGCAAGATTCAGTCAGACGATGCAGCATGTGGTAAAAGACAAATGTTGTCACAGTATGGAATAATCACACTTGTTTTGCATCAGCCGAACGGGGGAGCAGGACATAGTTTGTTGGTGAGAAGAAAAAAAAAAAAAACTGGCACAGTTTTAAAACCCTCATTGTGGACAAAAGTAGTGCTCATGTGTTATTGGGTGTCATAGCTCCAGACAGGACAGCAGGGGTGGAAGGATGACGGCTGGACTCAGAGGTGGAGCTTTGGCACCAGGCCTCCTGCTAATTGATCAGGTCAGATAACTCACGGTCGGCTGGGCGTCGTCCCATTGCTCAACACAGGGGCTGCTGTGTGAAGAGCTTTCCAGATGCCACGGCGCATAACGCCAGGGCTCATGCAGCGCACTGTCCCCCAAAATAAGTTCACACCATCCTCACCGTCCCTCTTGTAGGGATGCACCAGACCTTCTGACATATGGCTGTGCACTCCTAATTACCTCTCAGTACAAGTCTTTACGTGTTTTCGCCAAGTGTTATTATCTCCACTGAAGACACTAAGTACATTAATTTTTTCTTTGTTTTGTTTTAAAGAAATTAAATCTACATATTTTTTCTTAAAGGTATATGTCTCCAACATGAGTGCGTTGAAACATTTCCTTGCTTCCCTGTGTGCTTGGCAGAACAGCCATTACCAAATTGTTCAAAAATAATGTGAGTTGTTGCCTTTTAGGGTGTGCAGAGTGTATTTGGAAGCTGAGGGGGGATGAGCTGGTGAGTGAGGTAGGAGGGCATGAGCAGTAGGTGATTTTTTTTTTTTTTTTATTTATTTATTGTGTGTGTGGATGGGTGGGGAACCATATGTTGTCCCCAGCTTGCAGTTGCCACGTCAGTGGGCCTCAAAATTTTAACACATTTTGACAATGTGTCAGTTGAGCCTTACCCCTGGTTGTGCATGAAGGTGTGACCACATTATTGTGTGTGTGCATGTGCATGGACGGACGAACGCAACACAATACAATAGTTTTCTTACATTCCAGCTCCCTTGCCACCCCTTCCTCCTACAGTCACCTTGTTCTCTCAGTGCACTGTGCCAAGTTTACTGGAAGTCATATTACGGCATATACACACACATTTAAACACAACTGCACACATAATGCATCCATGTCTACCCAATACAACACTAAGAAGGATTAGAAATATTTATGTTGGCCTTATGAGAAAGTTATTTCCTTTATCGCTCTCAGACACACACACACACTTTCTTTCTTAGTCAAGGTCAAGTCTGGACAAAGCTGTACTGTTGCAAAAATGACCTTAATGATACACCATCAGGTTTGGCCCTCAGAATAAAATGATCAAAACTGAAGTCAAATAACATAGTTTTCATTTTTTTTTTAAATGGCAGAAAAGTTCATATATATTTTTTTATATCATGATTATATTTTTGCAGGAGGCTGCATAAAAATGACGACCTTATTTAGAACTTTATCAGTTTAGTTTTGTGTTAAAACGCTTATTCAAACATTTTAATGGTTAGAGTCGTTTAATATATATATATTTTTTTCCTTATTTATTTATTTTTTTTACTGTATGAGAAATATTAGGTAGTTTTTTCTTAACATGCCTGCGGTGTTGCATTATATGAGCCCAAGTTGCAAATTTTACTTTGTCACGTCTTGGTTAAAGCTGAAATTGGTGATTTCCCATGAAAAAGGAACTACTACTTACGCCACCTATGAACCAAACAGTTATAAATAATAACTCACTCAGCATAGTCCCGTTTGCAGTAAAGTTTGCGGTCCCGCAGAAAGCAGGAGTTCGTGAGCGCGTCCCCGCACGCCGCGCACCGCACACAGTCCTCATGCCAGAGGCCGTCAGTGACTCTGAGCAGGAATCTGTCTCTGATCATCCGATGGCATCCGGCACACACTGCCCTCCGATTCACATCTGCAATGCACGGAAATCCTTTAATTGGTAAATATTTTGGTTCAGCGAGAAAGATAAAACTGAAGAAATAAAAACTGGCAAATTTTGTTGTGTGCGTAACCAAGTGGCTGAACTAGGCGAAGGTTGGCAAATTAACCAAACTTTTCCTCTTTTATAATCAGAGGAAAATGTGTGCATGTGTTTTATAAGAGCAATATACATTTGAACAATTAATTTAAAGTTAGCACTTTTTTAAAAGGTCAAATTGTTAAATTCTAGACACTGAGTAATTCTGTTGAGCTGATAAAAAAACATAAATGAAGTTGCTTAAAATAAACGAATCTAATCTCAATATATTGATAAAATGCATGTTTACTTACCTAAGGATGTATCCGGTATATCCACCATTGCTGTTCCCTGAAGAAGCTGCGAAATATATTTTCACCAAGGTTTAATTTAAGGAAAACATTTTTCTAAGATTTTCTTCTTAGAGTTTTCTAAGAAGAGTAACATACCTGTAAAATGCGAGTTTCCGGTCAGCAGCGAAGGATTTTGGTTCTGAACTCCCAGCCCTGCTCAGAGCATCTCCGCCACTCAAAGTTCCCCTGCAACTTGCTCCTCGGAGCAGAGAGCAGCGCATCAAAGTTTCTGCTTAGTGCTTCGAGCGACCTCGCTGAGTCCACAGTTATTGACTATTTGGGCCGTCTATCAATTATCCTATTAGGGGTGAACGGGAAAGAGAGTGAGAGAGCGCGAAACAGAGTAAGACTTCCTCCATGTGCAGGTGCAGGTTACCTCTCTCTCTCTTTCTCTCTCCTTCTCTGCCAGGCACTCTCTCTCCTCCCTCGGTCACTCGCTCTCCCCCCCACGCTTGTGTGTCTCTCTCGCCAAGCCTTAATGCCAGTCGTATTCAAATTGTGATTTGATGATATTTTAATGTTCATGAAGTAAACTGCAGGTTCAAAGGTCACACACTTAAGTGATGATTTCCCCCCAAAATCTTTAAACGATCAGTTTGGTTTTTCTGCGAATTAGTGGCTTCACAAAGTTTCACTTTAGCCCAGTCTTGGCAGTAAATGGGATCATAGAGATTCCA